ATCCTGTCTCCAACTGAAAGCATTTGCAGGACCAAGTCCTTTAGACCAACAAATGCAACAATTCGTGCTGGTCGATGATAGCAAAGTTCACAAAGTCAAACAGCACGCTAAATTGTTTAAGATGCTTGGAAAAATCTGTCGCTTATAGTTTTGTTGTGAAGTGCTGAAAATAGACATCTGCCCTCTTTAATCTATGATAGATAAATAGTTTTCTAAGCCAAAGACAGATTAAGAATTGTCAATAATAGAGGAACACATTGTTTTTAAAGTGGGATACCACTATAACAACTGTATTTCCTATCTAACAATGGACAGATTTAATAAAAAACAATATTTAAAAAAAACCTAAAAATTTGAATCGGAAGTAGCGGGCGTGCTTGCACTCATTACTGAAGACTACATCCGCAACTGATGATGGGCATCATCATGAAGCATGTTCCATAAAATATACACAAAACACATCATCAACAAACACAAAGAAGTAAGTATACACATCTACCAACAAAGCTGAGGAATTACCCTTCCGTTAATGGAATTCAATGCATTCCGAGCATCTTCTTCTGACTCAAAGGTAACAAATCCAAAACCTTTAGGCCTTTGAGTTCTTGGGTCTTTAACAAGCCTCGCTGCTCGCCCAAATTAACAAATCCATATAAATCGATCAATCAGATCAACTACACCTCAATACCAGATTAATTATAGACCTATTTAACAAATCCTTCACAAAGTACAAATTCCATCTTTATAAAGTGTTATAGGGCAATCATGTATAGTAGATAAAGGCGTGCATGGTATAAGGGAAAATGGAAAACAGTTCAATCAAAAGGAGGAAAATGACTTCCCTCACTTATGGGCGGAAGTCATTTTTCTACCAACTATCTTAACTTTTAACTTAATATTATTTGCTTCAACTAGAACTAAACTTTATTAATAATCTCTAGTACTCAAAAGTTTTATCAGAACACTCTCCAATTTGCTGATATTATTTATTAATTTTTAATATTATACTCTATATTTTGAAAAATATTTTCCATGACATAAATTTCCTTGGGAAATGACTTCTGTCATACTTAACACACCCTAAATTTCACACTTATTTATTTTGAGGATAAATTAGATTACATTTCAGACGAAAAAAATAATGATTTCAGAATATAGAAATGAGGAAAGGTGAAGTAACCTTCTGTAACAACGCCAAAAGGTGAAAAGAGCTTCTTCAATCTTTCATTCGTAGTGTAAAACGATAATCCTGTTTAAAAGAACAAAAATTGAATGCATCAGTGTTAGGGTTTTAATAAGGACAACAGCAGACAAATAAATCACGACTAAAAAGAACATATAAAATACAATATATATTTGTGTTTTTGTGTGTGTGAAATATCGGGAGAGAGAGAGAGAGAGAGTACTGCTGACGAATAGCTGCAACCCTTTTGCCATCTGAGTTCTGAGAGCAGCGCTGTATCATCAAGTCAAAGAGACGCTGTATTTGTCGAAATTGCAGGTCGGTCACTATTTTAATTGAAATTTCATGTTGGTCCCTGTTTTTCTCATTAATTATTATATGTCCCTGTTTCAGCATTTTTCCTTTTTTTTTTCCCTTTTCTTTATCCACCTTTTTCTTTTCTTTTAATTTTCCAGCTTGCTTTCAAAAAAATTCTCCAAATGAAAAGTTGTGGCTGCCGACAAGCTTTATCGGCACATGCGATACAAGATTAAACTGAACAATAACATTAGAGTTGTTGCTAGTAGAGTCAACATTTGTTACATTAGGGGCCATTTTAAGTGTGAGCTTGTGGTGGTAGTTAGAGGATCGAAAAAAAAAACTCATGAGAGTCAAGGAGACCACTCTGATACCATATAATGAATGAGCAAGATGAAACAAAAAAAAATAATTTTATTAAATAATGATTAGCTGATTATATACACAAACAAGTTACAAAGGCCTAGTTAACAGACCAGAAAGCAAAAAAAATAAAATAACAAACGCCTTAAATGGTGGAAATAAAATAACAACATATGTAGTAAAATAAAGTAGATGCACTAATGTTACAAAACAGTAATAGTAACTCCTAATATGTCAGGCGTTAATTATTAAGTAGCCCTTCGAGTGGCAAGCAGGACGACAAAGAGGCCCTTTACTCCCGCTTCGAAATAGTTGGAACTATTACAATATTACTTTTGGGGGTTAAAGTATATAGTATTCTTTTCTACTATTCCATCTTAAAAGGGGTGAAATTACATACTCCTTTTTATAAGAGCCAATAATTATTATTGAGTTTTAGCCGGACACCAAATGCTCCAATCAAGCATGCCCATCTCTACAAACCAAGTAAAAAATCATGCCACTGGAACTGACTACAAGCAAGCAAGGGGAAGGGAATTATTGTGTAACTAGTTAATTTTTTCGCGCTTCGTGCGGCCGCAAAAAATATTATAAAATTTCTGAAATGATCTCTTCGTAAATATACCTGAAATAGAGATATAAAATTCTTTAGAAATAAGGTAATGTGGTAATTGTTTACATGGAAAATATGGCATCAACTTCGGAACAACTTCTTATAGTTTTAGTTTATTCTAATTTTTAATAATTTCATTTGACAATGAAATAGGATGGAAACAAATAAAGATGTCAAGTGAACTTATTATAAAAGCAAAGGGACAATATTAAAGTAGCAATAAATTTGATTCGGCTACGATACCTTTATACATAGTTTGATTTATCAAAACTCAACCAAAAAGACTCGATTTCATTAATTCTTCTCTCGAATTAAGTGACGTTAAATCTTTCAATAAAAGTAAGATGTTTGTTTTGTGAATATGTCATCTTTGTCATGGGTTGTGACAACCTTTCTAGTTCAAGCATAATCTTGATTTGCTTGAGTTTTCTGCTTCCTTATTCACAAGGTAGCATTAATATATGAGGAGCCTACAGGAGGAGGATTTTATATCACAATAACGTTGTGCTCTATTTTTATTTTTTATTTTGACTTTAATTGCTAAAATTTTTGGTAGGACGTATTGTCAAAATTAATTCCTGAAAGTACAACATCTATATAAGTCTAAAAGACTTGTTGAAAATACTACTCCCTAAATTTTTAATTTGTTCTTTACTCTGCTTTTTTTATTTTTAGATCGTCCATGTCTAGAGGCACGAAAAAGAAAAGAGGGATTGCTCGACCAATTTGAACATATCCATAAATAGCTTCCATCTGTCCTGGATGACGGAATAAATGCGAGTACAATCGAACTGAACTACTTGATTCATGGCTCTCAAACCTAACCTTTGGTGGATTTCCAGTAATATGTCTTAAGTTTCTTCTATGTCAGTATGTTAGAGTCAACTAAAAAGACTGACTTTTTTGCCTCCTCTTTGCCAGAAAAGCTATAAAATATTTCAAATACATATTGACATCTAGTATTACTTTTTCAAATAATCATTTGTTTTGAGAGAGTTGCATGTTGAATATTTGCCTTGTCCAATTTCCGCTGCAAGAAGCATTGAAAAAGGCCAGGCAAGCAACATAGAATCTATTTTTCCTCCATCTTCAACATTAGGTATAGTATTATATCCCAAACTCTCCTAATATTTTTTGTACTCCCACGCTATAATATATTTTTTGTTCACAAAATTTCTTCGTTTAGACCATACTTTTCTTTAGAGTACATAAGGATGACAATATAATAATGAATCAATGATCTAGAGAAGGGCAGGACTTTAGACGCAAAAATAAATTTAACTTGCTAACTTTCCAAGAGAAAATACATCTAGCAATTAAAATAAATAGTGACAATCTGCAGGAGCAAAGTTAATAATAGGTCAGTAACACCAAAGTACTTGCCATGATCAACTAAAGAAGCATTATGTGCAACTATAGATGATATCTTAGTACTTTAGATGGATTTGTAAGATGGTATGATCTCTAAATTATTTTATACGGGTCACCAATTGGAGATAATGCATTTGCAGCTAATATAATAGCAGCATAACAATTCACCATTTGCCCAATAAAATTAATATTGTTGTAAACAGAAATTGTGAAAGTTGCATGTATATTATTTTGGTTTGTTTGGGCTACATGATGTTTATAAGCTTTTCTGACAATTAGTATTAGGGGGTGCCATGCTTTGACAATTGTGTAGCTGTTAGGGGGGTGCCAAAGTTATGGTTGAGACGGTGTACCTGAAAAATCAAAAACACTGTAAAGCTCTCATCAGTTGTTCCAATCCTTTCCCTTTCCTATTTATAAAGAATCAGCAGAATATGATTAGCTTCTGATTATAGAAAAAATATAGTGCAGAAAATGATAATTTAAATATGTTGATCTACATTTCAATGCACAAAATCATTTCTGGCATAAGAAGACACCTGAATATAATTCTCAATAAATATAACAAAAATATTAGGCCTCCAACCATTTGATTGACATAATTTAAGCTACATACCTTATTCTGGAATACACAACTGATATATCTAATCTTTGTTATAGTATAAAAATACTTGCTGATTGAAAACTATCTTTTCATCTAACTTCAAACCTAAAGCACCTTCTGCGTACTATGAATTAATCGCTAAGATGACAAAAACATCTTAATGCTCATCTTAAGTATCACGAACTTTCAGATTTGGCATCAAGCAAAAGTTTTCCTTCAAGGAAAAGCTTTTACTACTAATTGTTGTGCCATCTAAGTGGTGAAAAATGCTTGTCTATGCACTTAGAAATTATTTTAAGCACAAGTATAAAATAAATAATTAAAAGCAACTACATGTGTGGACCACAAGCTTCCATCATAGACATTGTCAGCAAGAATGATAGAGCCCATTGTATCATGGTATTTAAATGGGTCCGCCTGCACAGAATAAAAAATTAACTGTAATTTTTTTTTTTTACGTTAGAAGCTGTCAACCAAAATAAGGGAGAAAATATTTTTACCTAATTATATTACGAATCTGACATAATTTGTTAAATCAGTGATCCACACATAGACTGTTTCATGTATTTGCTTGTTGGGATTAAGATCAAAGAATATTTTCAAGGATGGGCTGTGATGCATCTGCCAGAAAGATGGCAATAGACAATAGTTCGCAACCTACTCCAAGTAAATTTGAGACCACATATGTTAAACTGAAAATGGCCAATAAAGTAGACTAAATCGACAATAAGAAATTCAATAACAACGGCAAATCATTCTACAAAAAAATAAAAAGACTTTCCAACTAAAGCTCAAAAGATTGACCAACACTTCAATCAAATATGATCTATTTGGGTACATGTTAGATCGTTCGAATTTCACTATTTATACCATTCATGACATCCTCTCAAATAGTTCCGAAAATAAACAACACTAAAATTGAGTTAAAAAATTAGGAAGAAAGAGACCTGTAAAGTCATGACTTTTTCGCTAATTTTCTCGGGACCAGACATCCTGTTGTCCTTGGCTTGGTGACCGAGATGACAGGGGTTTGCCAGTGGTAACCATCGCTGATTTATGGCTTCAAATCCAAAACGAAAATTCTGCAACCAGTGGAATTCGGCTTCTAGTTGAGGAAGAGTAGAGTTATATCGCACAAGGCGAACAAAAGAGAGATATTGAGGAAGGAATGCCCCTTTCACTAAAAGGCTAAGGAACGACGTTTAGATTCTCAAGTACAAGACAACGATTATTTATTAATATTGTTAGTTAATGAGGTAAATAGGAAAAAGAGAGAGATAATCCCAAAAAACTGAGAAAAAAGATAAAGNTATATATAGATTAGTAGGGTTGCTCAATAGCTCTTTCCAAATGGACCTCTGAGATAGCATCAAGACGAGCACAAAACAGATCTGGACGCGATCAATTTCACAGATTTTCCGAAGTAATAGCATACAAGTCCAATAGCTAAAATACAAGCTCATCTACGAGCCTATATACAACAATACTATTGCTGCAAGCATCCTTGACTATGGCTTCCCATGACTCAAAGTCAAACCTTTTCTTCCTTTTCTCCATTTCCTCCAAAACAAAGCAAGCATCTTCAACCTTCCCTTTATCAAGCAAGCCAAGAATCATACACCTTACTGTTTCCATACGCGGAAAATGCCCGCTCATCAACATTGCATTCAAAACCTTCAAACCTTCCTCAAATTCTCCTGTTTTACAAAAACCATCAACCACCATTCTGTATGTAGCTGCATTAGGATTGCAACCTGCAATTTGCATATCAACTAACATCCTATATGCTTCAGCAGTTTTACCTTCCTTGCAGAAATAATTGATTAACATGTTATAGATCACAGCATCGGGCTTAATGTGCCTCTTTTTCATCTCCACAAGTAAACTATTTGCCTCTCCAATTTCGCCTCGTTTCAAAAGATAAGTCATCAAAACACCATAATTGACTATTTTCAGCTTACATCCTTGGTATTCCATATCAAACATTAATTTCTTGGCTTCTTTGTACTTACCCAAAGAACTCAAACCTTCCATCAACAAAGCATAAGAAACTGCATTTGGCTTCTTTCCCTTTCTAACCATATCCTGAAACAAACTTTTAGCACCTTCAACATCCCCCCTCTTACACAAAAATCCAATTTGACAATTGTAAGTCACCACAGTTGGCTCAACTTCTCTTTCAAGCATTTCATCAACCACCTGGCGCGCCATTCCCCAGTCGCCCTTCTCCAACCACATCTTAATCATAACGTTAAACGAAACAGCATTTAACCAAATACCCATTTTCGAACAATTCCTTAACATCTCATTTGCATCATCAAAACGCCCATTTTCAACAAGCACATTTAAAAGTGCATTAAAAGACTGTACACTACGCGTACAATTAAATGACCCCATGTTGTGAAAAAGCTCAATAGCTTTATCAACCAACTGGGCTTTCCCGTAATGTTGAATCATCCCAATAAAAACCTTTTCTTGACATCGAATATAATATGTTTTTAAATACCCAAGAAAGGTTTCAACAGCTTCAAAGTCTCGAAACTTTGCGAGCTTATAAATAAGACAAGAATAAGTAGGGTAGTCATGTTTGAACCCCGTTTGCTGGTAATCATGGAACAGGGAAATAGCTTCATTAGGATCTTGGATTTGTTTGAGGTCAGCAAGTAGTGGTATTGGCTTGCGAAGAAGTGTTTTTGTAGGCTTATGAGGCCTTTCAGGTGAGAATTTTGAGGTGGGTTTATGAGAACGATGATAACTGTGGTATGGTTGGGATTGGAAAATTGAGGTTCTGGATTGTGCAAGGTTGTGAATTTTGAGTTTTGAGAGTGTTATGCTAGCTTGTTTGATTCTTGAATTGATCATGGAATGATGAAGGTGGCGTTAAAATTATAGTTTCAAGAGTTAGATGAAAGGTCTGTGGAGGGAAAAAGGAGCTTAAACTTGGAAGCACATTTGAAAGCTTTTGTACTCGAGATTGGTTGGGAACTGATTTTGGTAAGATTTTAATTTGGGTCAAACTGATGCTTCCACAAAAGTTGGAAACTGGGCCTTGTTCATTTCCACGTTGTTTGGCACATTTATGCCGGCAAAATCACAAAATCATTTTTGTCGTTGCTACTAATAGCGTGTTTGGGGAGCTTCTAAAATCTGCTTATTATTTTTAGTAGTGATTTTTTCAAAAGTATTTTTTAAATCAGTTCGTGTTTGATTAATTAATTTGAAATGCACTTTTGAGCAGTAATTTATATTTGGCTAAGCTTTTGAAAATTATTTCTTAATATATTTTTCTCAAAAGTGCTTATCACAAAAGTACTTTTTAATAGAAGCTACATTTTTCTGCTTCTCAAAAATTGCTTCTGCTTCTCCTCAAAAGCACTTTTTTTCCTTCTAAAAGCTTGACCAAATACTTTAATTTTTTGCCAAAAGTACTTTTGACCCCAAAAAAAACTTGGCCAAAGAGGCTATAAGTCAATAGGATTTAAACTAGCCAGCCAAGTCTTAAAATGATAGTATTAGAATTAGAAGAGGTTACGGTTAGCCACTATTGCAATACTGATACATTGTAAAATGTTCTAGTCAAAAAGAAAAAAAAAAAATAGTTTTGTGTATAATTCGGAAAACATTCACGAGGGTACTAGTTAGGACAACCTATGTGCACTTAAATATAGTTTTGATTTTAAAAGTAATTCAAAATTATTTAGATATTGCACTACAGAAATATAGCAACAACAACAATTACATACCCACTGTGATCCTACAAGGGGGTCCAAAAAGGGTGGGGTGTACGCAAATCATACCCTGCCTTGTATGAGGTAAATATATTGTTTTCGATAAACCCTTCACACATCAAATAAAATCCTTTTCAATGGATGAGTATTCTGAAAATGATTGGAACTGTTATAAAATAAAGACTATAAAATAAAGAAACTGAAGACAAGTATAAAGGGAGATTAATATTTTATTTCAACTTCAAACTAATGTACATAATGAACTGAAAACTCCTCTATTTATAGAAGAAAGGAAGCAGTTGCGAGGCTTTTATTGAGCTGCTTGTAAGCTGTCTGTTTGAGCTGCTTGCTACCTGCCTGTTTAATATGAAGCTGCTGCAAATCATTTCATTTAGTTGCTTGCAACCTGCCTGCATCAGCTGCTTGTAGATAAACTTCAATAGAGTACCAGACGGATAATCTTATTCAGGAAGATTATCTATAGCGGAGTAATAAATGGACATCCAGATTATAATTATTTTCATAACACTCCCCCTTGGATGTTCATTAAAAGATATTGTGCCTCGTTAAAACCTTACTAGGAAAAATTCAGTGGAAAAAATCCTAGTGAAAGAAAAGGAGCACACATATTTAGTAATACGCAATTCTAGCTGCCTCATTAAAAACCTTACAAGAAAAACCTCATGGGAAAAACCTTAGTCAGGAAAAAAGAGTGCAACGCGTATTTCACTACCCCTGATGAAAACCTTGTTCCAAATATTTGAGTTTCCGCATTCCAATCTTGTATACCATTTTCTCAAAAGTTGAAGTTGGCAAAGATTTAGTGAACAAATCTGCTGGATTGCCATTTGAACGGATTTGTTACACATCAATGTCACCATTTTTCTGAAGATCATGTGTGTAGAATAATTTTGGTGAAATGTGCTTCGTTCTATCTCCTTTTATAAATTCTCCCTTTAATTGGGCTATGCATGCAACATTGTCTTCGTATAAAATTGTGGATCTTTTATCACATTCCAAACCATATTTTTCTTGAATAAAATGAATCACTGATCTCAACCATATGCATTCCCTACTTGCTTCATGAATAGCTATTATCTCAGCATGATTTGAAGAAGTAGCAACAATAGATTGCTTTGTGGAGCGCCATGATATGACAGTACCTCCACATGTAAACATATACCCGGTTTGAGATCGAGCTTTATTGGGATCAGATAAATAACTAACATCTGCATAACCAACAAGATCTGTACTACCTTTGTTAGCATAAAACAAACTCATATACAGAGTTCCTTAAATGTCGTAAAATATGCTTAATCCCATTCCAATGTCTCTGTGTAAGAGAAGAGCTAATCTTGCTAGTAAATTAACAGGAAATGTTATGTCAGGACTTGTAGCATCAGCAAGATACATAAGTGCACAAATTGCACTGCGATAGGGTGTTCCGGGATCAAGGAGTTCCTCATCCTCTTCTGGAGGTCGGAACGGGTCCTTATTCACTTCAAGTGAACTAACAACCATTGGTGTACTCAATGAGTGCGTTTTGTCCATGTAAAAGCATTTTAACATTCTTTATGTATAGGTAGATTGATGTATAAAGATCATGTTTGTTAAATGTTCAATTTGCAGACCGAGACAAATTTTTGTCTTTCCAAGATCTTTCATCTCAAATTCTTTTTTAAGTTATTGAATTGCCTTTTGGAGCTCTTCTGGAGTTCCAACAAGATTTATGTCATCAACATAAACAGCAAGTATAACAAATTCTGATGTCATTTTCTTTATAAAAATACATGGACAAATAACATTATTTATGTAATCCTATTTCAACAAATATTCACTAAGGCGATTATACCACATGCGCCTAGATTGCTTTAAACCGTACAAAGATCTTTGTAATTTGATCGAGTACATTTCTCGAGACTTTGAATTATATGCTTCAAGCATTTTAAATCCTTCATGGATCTTCATATAAATTTAATCAAATGAGTCATATAGGTTATGACTTGCATTTAAATGGCATGACATTTTTAGGTGTCTGGACTACATGTCCTATCCTCACAATCTTTTACAATATCGTACACTATATTGTATTAAATATACCGTCGACGATCATTTTGTATCAGTTTGCAAGCGACATAACTTGTTGATATCTCAACACTTTCTTTATTTTCAGATACCTGAACTTCTTGTGGAGTTTCATAGAATGTTATGTAGTGGGCTCTTCTAGAGCTTATTTCCTCCTTATTATGATCATTTTGATTATTTGCTCCTATCTTTTTCAAAGATTGTTACCTTTGGAACCGATTGGTCTACTATGCTTCATGCGTACAATAAACTCTATCCTCTAGGGACTTTAATTTTAATATGAGCATTTGTAGCTGAAATATGATATTTTATTTTGGATCAAGAAATACTTCTGGCATTTGACTTGAATTATCTTCTGAATGAGGATCACACTAATGATAATTCGATTCATATAACATATTTTCAACTGCTTATTCCATCCCCATAATATTAGAAAAACTAACATATATCCCAAATCTTCTTTGGAAAATCTATCTTTGTGCTTTGTGGTAGAGAAATTAATCATATACCACGCATCAAAAGTTATTAGATAGTAAAAATATTTGGTTTCTGATCCTAAACTAATTGTGAGAGGAGGACTTATCATATATTATTGGTGTGATGCATACAAGTGCTGCTGTATGCAATTTAGAAAATCTTAGACCAACACATGAGGCTTTCGTCTCATAAGCAATAGTTTAGCCATTAATATTGGGTATTAAATACTAAACCAGCTTGGATATAAATCAGCTTTATCAAGATGAACTGTCTTGATTTCACAATCTAAAAATTATGCTCTTATTTGAGAAAAGCAATTTTAAATGCCAAACTGCAGGTTGACAATAATTACACATGTAACCATCTCATATATGCATCTATAAGTGGTTCACATGATAGGTGAATGGGCCCATATTCACCTTTTATATATTTCATAATCAGGGGTCTTAGCCCCACATTAGCTGGTATAATCAACTTATTATGAGAACAAGCAACACAAGAGAATTCTTGAAGAATCTTCTAGTTCTTCAATATATTAGTTCTTAAATATATGCTTATCAGAATTCTTAATTAGCTCATTATATTTAAATCAGATGGCAAATAAAAACTTTCAATTTATCATGGCATGTGCTATCTTTCAGTAAATTTCTAGTTTACTATGACATAAATTTTTGTATCAGTAAACTTCTAATTTACTGTGGCTACTTTTGTATCGGTAAATTTCTGATTTATTGTAGCTACTTTTGCCTCAGTAAAAACTTCTGGGTTACTATGACACGTGATGTAGTACAAATTAAAGAATAAGGCGGGTAGCTTCTCACATACATATTTACCCCTTATAATTGTGGAACAAGAAGGTTTTCAATCTTTCAATCATTTGTAATCTCAGTATGATAGTCATTTGTATTAGTAAACTTCGAGTTTATCATAACATATGTTTTGACCACAATAATGACAAATAATCTCTTCGGGAGCCTTCAATTTATTGTCCACAATCAAATATTATTCAGACACTACTTGTGTCATGTGTCTTTTAGACAATCAATTAGCTCTTCAGGAGCTTTTGATAAATTTTATACTACCAAATATTGCTCAGACACTTCTGGTATCATGAGAGAAAATCATAATCAAATGAACAATATAAAACAATTGTTTAAGCACCGAAAGATACTGTTTTATAATATTTTCCTGCTTCAGGAGAAAATTTTAATCGTTTTACTACTTCATGAGTAAATTTAAAATACGAAATATTGAGTATATATTCTATCAATCATATTATCTCTTCTGGATGTGAATTATGATATCTTCACACTTAAGTGCGTATTCATATTTACAAGCTTTATTAATACTGTCACATTCACTTCTGGGAATTAATCAATATTTATCAAAGTTTTCATTCTTCAGGGAATGGAACATAATTATCTAAACGTGCAAAATCACATCAAATTGTGATGCTTCGAACCTCTTTTAAGATAATGCTATTTCAGGAGCAAATCGAGGTATTCATGTAATATAGAGAATATTTCTCTAGCTTATCTTCAATTGTAACCATAGAAAGCCCAAATTACTACTTCTGGTGGTTAACAAATTTAGTTATGAAACATAGTTACTTCTGGTGGTCGTACTTTGATAGAGTTTAAATGAACCATGAAATTAAATCATAATGAGATTTAAGAAATATTGCCACTGCCGGTGGTTAAATATTTCGTGCAAAACTCAACTGGAGTTAGAAACCAAAGAAAAGATTGAGTTAAATATTGCATATATGAGTC